CAGTGTTAGTTATTTAATTTTTCTATCCTACTCTAGTGAAACCGCATCGAGGCCTTTGAGAGATTTTCATTGCACGTATTCTCGCTGGCCAGAATGCGGTTCACCCTTACCACTCACCCGTCTCAAACTCCACGCACACACACACGCGCGATGTCTCCAAGTGCTCCGCCGCTGGTCCTGGGCCGGGCACACTCGCTCCGAGATCGCCTGATTGATCTCCTCCTAAATTGTCGTCAGCCGGTGGCTGGAATCCGGCGCTCCTGATCGCCGCCACTGTTGGCCTCGCGCGTCGAAGCTGGCTCTCGCTGGCCACTGCACAGTGGCCGATTTGGCTGTTCTGGCGGCAGAAATGGAATTTCATAAAAAGTAACGATAAATTTACCAAGTTTGAAATTTTTATCAAATCTTTACCTAAAAAGAAATTAAACTTTACACCTTTAATTTAATTTAATTTTTTATTTTTTATTTTAATTTTTTTTTTAACTTTTAATTTTTTTTTTTAATTTTTAATTTTTTTTTTTTTTTTTATATTGAATGAGTTTGTATTTTGTTTTTAAAGATGTTATTTAAAAAAAAGCCACAAACAAATATATTTCAATTTTCCGAGTCTAAATCGGAATTTTATTCTTGCATATGTAGTCTACAAGTAGATTTTGACCTTTAATGTCAAATGAAACTGCTTTTCTCGAACTATTAGCCGCACTTTTGTTTAAACTTGTTATTAGTGGATCCGACGATACCAACAATAAGTGCAAAAGATCCTTCATTGTGTTAGACCAAGAGTTTTTGCGAGTATGGTTCAAGCGAAAATTTCTTAAGTAATGTTTGCTGAAAATATCATAAACTTTAGCAGGGGCACGTAATTTACACACTAGACGAACCATAGTTTAGCACAGTTATACAGTTTTTGCGGGCCGGGACGAGCTTTACAAAGATTTAGTCTACAGAAGCTGAAACATGCTTTTAAAAAGGGGGCTAAAAACATTGATAGTTTTAAACATAAACTACAAATACAACATCTACTCACAGGTCACAAAACATTAATTTTCTTATTCTACATACCTTAAGCTTTAAGAAAATGGAGAACTTGTTTCAAAAATGGTGAAATCTAAAAAAATGTCGCGAATATAAAATAGAGTGCAGCAACCGAGGTATAAGCTCTGAAAAATAGCACTCTTTATTGCCCTTGTTGGTCAGTGTGATTCCTCGAAGAAAAGAATTTATAGCCGAATAGTATTTAGAAATCACTGATAACTGCCAGCGTCAACTGACCAATTGCTCTGCTGATAGCGCTAATTGATATTGGATGGACCCTAAATAAATCAACCGGACCCTGCAATTTGATTTCGCTTATTGCCGCCGGCCACACACTTAATCATCATTGTTCATTGTGAAATGACACTCAATCCCAACGGCGATTGCAGCGCGTGTCCGCTGGTTTATTGATGGGACAGCAAAGTAAACAAATTAGTAGAATTATCTTATCTAAGGAAAAGACAAATAGTTGTTAAATACACAAAGGGCAAGGTTAAGGAAAGAAAATTCTTTAAGAATAATAAATATTGCACTTTTATTTTTCCTGTTACTTTAGCAACTTATGCTTCAAAGTAATCCTAATTTATTGTTTTAAATACATTACAAATTATATATGTAGATCGCTTAGGTAAGTGTGTAGATAGATCCTTTGCAGTTTTCTAAGCAAAAACATGGCTTCAATCTTGACATTTTTATACCCTTGCAGGGTATTATAATTTCAGTCAGAAGTTTGCAACGCAGTGAAGGAGACGTTTCCGACCCTATAAAGTATATATATTCTTGATCAGCATCAACAGCCGAGTCGATCTAGCCATTGTCCGTCTGTCCGTCTGTCCGTCTGTCCGTTTCTACGCAAACTAGTCCCTCAGTTTTAAAGCTATCTGAATGAAACTTTGCATATAGTCTTCTATATACTCTCACTGCTATATATGTCGGAACGCGCCGGATCGGACGACTATATCATATAGCTGCCATACAAATGTTCGATAAATTTTTAGAAAAAACATTATAACTTTGCTGTTTTTCAATATTTTTTTTTTTTTGGCCGTTTTTAGATATGGCCGTTTTATATTATTTTTGAATTTTGGTAAAAATTTTATGAAAATCGGACGACTATATGATATAGCTGCCATAGGAACGATCGAGAAATAAATAGGAAAACAATTATAGCTTCGTTGTTTTTCAACGTATGTTTATCTACTCTGATATATAAGCTTTTTTTATTATTCTAGAATTTTGGTATAAATTTCATAAAAATCGGGCAACTATATCATATAGCTGCCATAGAAGCGATCGGTAAATGTATAAAATATGTAAACCTGGGAATGTAAAACTGTTACTGTCAAACTGTAAACATAATAAGTATAGGTAAAATTTAATGAAACTCTTTTTTGTGAGTGTTTTCAGCATTTAAATCTATACTATGAACATCAAAACCAATCTGCAAGGGTATACAAACTTCGGCGTGCCGAAGTTAGCTTCCTTTCTTGTTGTAGTACAAATTCATCAATTGCTGAGAGAGAAAAGGCAGAGTGTAAATACATTTTATTATTTACTTTTTTGTTAATCTTTGTTATTATGTAAAGCGAATTGTGTTTCAAAAATTTGACAAAAATTCGCCACAACATATACATACTATTTATCTTAATGTTAAATTACATATCGGTAAATCAGTGTGACCCCCTGCCAGCCTATTGTCCATTTTTTTTTTTCAGAAAATCGTAGAAGCCCTTGAGTTTTATTTCAAACTAAATCGTATAAAAGCAAGCTGCTCAGAGCCAGATTGGCAGTGTGTTTCTTGATTTCATTGGATTAGGATATTCTCGTATTTTTTCATTTAAATCAATTTTTATTTATGGATTTATTTTTTTTAATTTGTTTTTTATTTTATTTCCCAGTGCAAAGTAAAACATTTTGACCGTATCGGCAGAAACATGTAGATACATGTGTTCACACATGAACATGAAATTATTTTTGTAATTTTAATTGAATTGTATTTGTGAAATTTAATAATTAAAATGAAATTAAAAGAAATGAAAATGTCATTGTATATTAAGCCATGATACAGAGGCCGTTGCAAAATATTAGTTGCAAAATGAATTATATCGAATCAAACAAAAAAAAAATACAGTCCACTTATGTTTTATTGCAACTAATTTAACTGTACACCCACACCTTGCTGGCCCTTGGCAGAATGTTCAAACATGAACACGGTTTTAGATAAGAACGCATCTGTTAAGCATTAAATAAATCTCTGCCGCAGTGCACGGTCTAGCACATGTATGCATAGCTATAAGAAACCGCCACTTGAGCCTATGTAACAAGTAACCCGAAATATGACCTCCTGTGAGCGGTCTGGGTTTGTTCAAGATATGCGCTATCGGGTTGCCTGTGTGCACCCTTATCTCAAATACTTCCCACGATCGGGAACTGTCCGATGCGTGGGTCTAGAACTAAGATCTACAATGTACATTCTCATGTTAGCTATATAAGCTAGGGTTTGAATGGAATAAATTCAGTTTCTTACAAAAACTCAACACATGAAGAATTCTCATTTATTTGGGGGTTTTCTAATGGCTTTCATCTCCAAACTTGGTTGTCTCGCACTAGCCCGTGCGTATTTAGCATCCCTTGGGTCCTACCACCCGTAACGCGACAGGCCAGAGAGGGCGCCCCTAGGTCCTGCACCTAGGCGGCTTCTACGTACCCACCACTATATGGCCTGCGGCGAACTGACAGCATGCGGGTTCCCATACATTTGGAATAAAGGTCGTGATTTACCATAAGGCCTCGTCAAGAATTTACAAAGAACATTCATTGACGCCAACACCGCTTATAAAACCTTGTCATGTATCAAAAACAAAAAACAAACAATTTAGACAAGGGAAAAATGACAGTGTGGGTTCACGGGAATCGGATCCATGATTGCCGTGCTCGAGGGGGTGCGGGGGGTCGGTTGGTTTTGGCAGCCCATACTACTTTACTCTACTCTATTCGAGCCGCCAACCGCCCCCCAAAAAACACCAAGCCAACTCTCCCTCTTTGTTTATTTGCGAGTGCCACCTGGCCCGGCAGGCCAGTGGCCTCTCACCAGGATTGCAGTACTCCAGAGTTGCTTCTAAGCAGCCGGTAGGCTGCCATCGGGGCTCCCACGTCGCGTCTCGCCGTCATACGTCGAAGCATCCACGCCTACCGCTCCGTCATCTCCATCAATTGTTTGCGCCGCTGCCGCCCTGCAGCGACAAGATCCAGTGCATCCTGTGTTTTGCCCCACCTTTTATGCAGGATTCACACCGAGGCTCACTCCATGGTTGTTTGTAACGCCTCTCGACTGCACCCTCGCCAGTGCTGCCATCTTTTGCCCAGCAAAAAAAGCTGTTTTTGACGGGACGAATTCAGAAAAAAGCTAAAAAATTAAAAAAAATCCATAAAAAAGCTAAAAAAATGTATTAAAAATACGAAAAATGTCAAATAAAAAACAATTTATTAATTAATTTTTGCTTAAAATATATCCATAATGTTATCAATATCTTTTTGGTCCTCATTTGCGTATGACTTATTGGTGCCTATCATGCGCAGATATTGTGTAGGCACTTCATAGTCGACGCAGCTTTTTTCAAGCCTTCGCAATCCGTATATGTATATTAAAATAGAAAATAAATACAGTATATCTTTTGCTTGAAAATAACACTTTACCTTATGCTTAGAATGCTGTTAATCGTGTTGAGGCCTAATGAATTTGTTAATTTGGATTCAATGAGATTAACCTGGCTAAAAACCCTTTCGATCTCCGCGTTTGGCCAGGGCAAACATAATATATTTATGGCCACAGTTGCCAGCTCGAAAAATCTTCGATTTCCACCAGAATCTTTATAATTGAGCACCTCAAACCAAAATTTTGGTGTATCGCTGATGTTTTCCCATTTGATTAAGTTAATGTTATTATATTGGCGTTCAATTTCGGCGATATTTTTACATTCCAGGAACTCTAAAATTTCTGTGATGTTTTTTTTTACCGCGCACAATATCTTGGTGACGGAAAAAACATCAATCTGTTTTAAAACTTTAAAGTTATACGGTAGCCTAAAAGTAATCAAATTATTTAGTAGTTTATAAAAAATAACAAAAAAAAATGCTTACCTCTGTTTCAATTGTTTAATCAATTCAATTGTAAAATATGTGCAGCGGTCCCGAATTTCTTTTTCTTTATTTCGATTTATATTTAGGTACTTTATCTTTTTTTCGAAATCGTAGCCCTTCTGCAAAGTTGTATCCGCATACCTCTCAATATCGTCAATTTCAAATATATCAAATTCAACACCTTGTGGTGTAACTCCCTTCTTTAGGGAATTTATAGCAAACTCCAAATCATTTAGCAATTCTGTTGCGTTGGCGTTTTTGCTTTGATATGATTTGTTCACCTTTTGTAAGTCGGAAAGAATGGGCTTTAAAAATATCAAGTAGAGACATCATCGCTGAATTGCTGGTGCAGCATTTGCGCTTTTAAGCATTTTTCGTTAGTTGCAGCTAAGCCAAAGTGAATTTTCAGCTCTTCCCACTGATCCAATATTCTCGATACTGCCAATTCTATCGACAACCATCTCGTGTCGCTGACTCTGGGTATTTTCAAAGGAACCTTTTAGAAAAAATTTACATAATTATAGTAGTTACATACTTACTTACATACTTATAATTTAAACAATAAAAATGTTATTGAAAAAATTATTCTCTTTGTTAAAACAACATGCAGGACAATTCACACATAACAAATAGTACATAATTGGCACAATAAAGTTAGTAAGCGAAATACCCACGGACACTTAAAAAACAATACATAAATGTTAATACACAAATTCAAATGTCTGTAACAGTTTGAAATACCTCATCATCGTTTAAACATTTATAAATTTTTTGATATTCTATTTGACGGCATGAACTTTTTGCAAACCAGTTATACGTTTCATAGATTAAAAATTCCAAATTCTCTGGGAGGTGATGTTTACATACTTGGCTTATAGCCAACTGTACAGAATGGCACACACATCTTATCAAAATTAGCGTTGGAGTTTTCTTTTTTAACTCCGTGAAAACACTATGGTTTTTGCCTGTCATGACATTGGCATTGTCTGTCCCGATTCCAATAAGATTCTTAATATCTAATTTATAGAAAGACAATACATTTTTGACGCTATTTACAATGGCGTCGGCTTTTCCACTCTCTAAAGCTACAATTTTTAAAAATATAGAGACGAATACACCCCGCCGCACCGAAAAATAATTGATAACCACACCCATGTACATAAATATATATAAATTCACAAATTTAATAAATTGTAAGGAAGTTCTAAGGCTGGGGTAGGTCTCAGTCTCGTCCAGGTCCTCTTTATCAGAAAAATTTATAAAGTTATGGGACAAAGCGTTTTGACGCGCGGTGAGCTGACGTGAGGTGTTGGTTGTCAGCCACCGGGATACGAAGCCAGAGAAATGGCTTGTCCGGTCGTTGCAATAGAGCAAAATAATCGGCGGATGCGCGCTTTGGGTCGGGCCCATAGCAGACGCTATGGGGAGACCGAGAGAGGGGTCGATTATGGGGAGCACCGCTTCCTAGGGCAGAAGTTATGGCTTAGAAACTAGGCATTTTTGTGGTAATATATTCCGTGAGTCATGGCCAACATGATTTGGGGTCGTCCCCTACGAGCAAATATTTAAATTTGGGTCGACAATTGTATTTAAGAGGGTTTTCTCGAATTTATTAATTTCTCCCAGTGTAAGCGGAAGACTCGCCTGTTTCCCCGCAAAACTATGCCTGAAATCCTCTCCTCGCAAACGCGTGGCCACAGCACAGCGCTAAATAACCGGAGAAATATTTAATTTAATTTGCTGTAATACATTTGCCGCGAAGATAAGGTCCACCCTTTTCGCCGGACTTCGACGTTGTAATAAAATATTTCATTATAAATTCCCAACTGATTTTTATCCCAAGACGATCGGGGCTGAGCGAAATATTTTTAATTTATAAATTTCAATGAAGTTTTATTGAAATTCGGGTCCACCCTTCTTCCTCTACATGTCTCGTTTGACAAAAGTTGGCGTAGGTCAAGGAAAATAACATGGCGACAGCGAGGGGAGTTTTTAGTTTCAAGCGAAATATATATATATATAACTTTGTTATTAAATTCAGATTTCAGCGAAGGGTTTAATTTCTATTTATTTACATTTGTTCTGCGCTTTGGTTTTATTATTTTCTCATTCTTTTATTTCTGGGCTTAATTTATAAAAA